AACCAGCCCCCCCCCCCCCCCCCCAATTTTAAGACTTTTAGATATGTCACTGGTAGAACAGTAGCTTGCTACTGGACATGTATTTCCTACATACAGTATTTGTAGACTCTAAAATTGATTAGGTAAGCCTTTGAAATTGTCATTTTTTTCAGGGGCTTTGCATCACCCTTGCTACTGGACAGGTTTGCCAGTTTAAATACTGTACAAGGTTACTCATGAATAAACATGCAATTAAAACCCCTGACTTCATGATTGTGAGTGAACCCAAAGTGAAACTGCTTTACCAATGGACAATAATGAATTACCACTTATAAGACACCTACTGACCTATACTGTACCAAGGCACAATTATTACCTTGGTGGATTGTGTGCCAAGTACTGTACAATGATAGGACTAGATATAACCCCCATCAGAGCACACAAAGGTTGCACCGGTTTGCCAATGTATGTTATCTATTGACCAGGGGTAATAACACTCGCCAATGACAGTTGTTACAAAGTACTAATTTTCATGACCTCAATCCTTGAATTCCCAAAAATGTCATACTAGAAATTTTTACATACACTTTTAAAAGGGCACTTCTTAAAAAAGGGGGTTTGTTTAAACCCCCTGGCTACAGGCTTGTGCTTTCACCTTCCAACCTGAGCTTTCCTAAAATTATTAAAGTGTTCAATATACTGCATTATGGTATCAGAGGGTGTATAGTTGGCGTCTCGCTTCGACGTTAATATAGTAGGCAGCTGAGGGGTCATATTACCCATAAAACTCTGCATAAATTCAGTCATTAGGTTCCAGCAATCAGATATAATAACACATGGCGTATACTCAACCTGTTAAAACAATACAAAAAAGATGAAACATTAATCAATACTTAAGTATACAGTACAAGTATTTTTTAATCGGTATGATTAGTATTTTAATGCCATGTTGGTGACAACTTGTATAATAATTTTTGAAGTTCTTGCTTTTTAAGTGGTGGTAATACTGGTATACCTACTAAACCAATTTAATTATTTAACATACCTCGACTAACAATCCTTTTGTGTGAGATCCAACAGAGACTATTCCCACTTTGATCACAAAATCACCCAGCTCAAACCTCTGTCCTTTTGACTCGATCTTTGGAAGTTTCCGTTGACCATAAAAACCTTTTAATTTTTGCATAATTCCGTCAAAATTTGTGTCGCACACCAAACAGGTTCCCGAGTCAGTCACAGCAAAAGACGACAGAGGAAATTCTGTGTTATGAATCGTGTGAATAACTTTTGATTGTCCTAGAAAAAGAAAAATTAATTTTGTGCCATCTTATATAATTTTATCTTCAAAACTGATAAATTATATATTATAAAATATTTCAGAATAAAAGAATAGTTATACAGTACTGTATAACATTATTTTAAACATTTTACAACTGAAGTCATATAGAGCCATGCCAAAAACAGCATCGGAGACAAAAACATGAAAATTGATTTTTAAAAATACTGTATTCATAATCTCTACATTTATAGGCTTTAAAATTGATGGGACCATCATTTACTGAAATCGATTATTATTGCAAGTTATTGGTAAAATTGTTACGCCTTCTCTGTACTTAAGTATACAATAATTTCTACATTCTAATGCTAATTACTCGGTTTCGGTTTAACATTAACAATTAGTCACAATACACTGGTTTTGAAATGGCAAGGCTTGTATTAATTAGCCGACAAAACATTGGTAAATAGGCCATTTCGACATATCAGTGGTGATTGATAGAAGCACTCATGTACTGCCAGTTTCATATTACTTTGAACCCATTTATTGGAGGAAAAACATCTTAACCATCAAGCTACAGCAGTGGCGGCTATAGGATGTATTTTCTGGGTGGGGGGGGGGGGCTAAGTTGTCCAACAGGGGGACTTGAGCTCGTAGGCTTGATATGAATGATTAGGCACTGTCTCTTATACACATCTAGATGTGTATAAGAGACAGCTCTTAGACTGTCACAAACATGTGTTTGCTTGGTGTGGGCCTATTTTTATATGTTTTATGGTCTGACCTCTGTCCAGCAGGGGGGGGGGGTTTGACCTGTCCTGTTGGGGGGTGGCTTAAGCCCCCCTGCCAGCGCCGCCACATAGCTACAGCCAGATACCAGTCAAGTCACCCCCTAACAAAGACGACCCTTACCAACTTTGTTATGGTTGAGTTTAAGGAGTGAGTTAGGGGCCGCAAGTTTGTTAGGGGATGAGTTTGCAGAGGGAGACTTTGTATGTTCTGGTGGTGAGTTTGTAAGGGGAATTTAGCTAGGGGGAAACTGGACTGGTTCCTCTACAGCTCCACTCCATTGGCAGACCCGCACCTTGGGTTTGTGTTAATGCTTGGTAGGTTTCACAGTCGACACAGAATATTCCAGTTTTGTTTGCTCCCAGGAGATCTAGACGCTTGTTGACATTTTCAACAACTTGTTGGATGTTCCGATTCTCCGCTATTATCCACTGACTGACACTATAAAGCAAATTAAATTAACAAATCAGTAATATTATACTCTATCATAAATTTTTAAGATATTGATATCTGAAGCACATACAGTACAGTATTTCATTTAAACAACCTTTTTTAGGTATCAACAAAGCACCTACTACTAATCCTACTGTAAAATACCATACTTCTTTCAATGTTCTCCATTACACTTGACTCAATGAGTGCAAATGGTGACTGCAATGCAAAAACAATCAAGGACTCCCAATTATTTAATTAAGCAAGGATTTAAGTTTATTATTAATTTTAAAATGACAACAAATAATATTATATTATATTTGAACGTAACAATTTTAATGTCAGAAAAAAACCCAAGAAATTAATAAACCACATAAAATCATAGCATGTATTTGCATACACAGCTTCATGCCCTCAATGATGGCCAAGGCCTTACTCATGCACGCATCCAGCCTACCATCAGAGCGCTTAAGCCGCGCTAGGTTGTTGTATAGGCCCTCTACAAATCAAGAAAGGGGCCCCTACGTACGTAGACTAGCTAGGCCTACTACTAGACCAGAATTCACAACCAAAAACGTTGATTTACCATGTCACTCCCATTTTTATAAATTTAAAATCTGATATATCTAAAATCAGTTACTTTCAACATATTATAGGTCTCGAGGCCTTATAAGATCTGTGGTAACAACTGCCAGGCCAGAAGCAAATCAGCGATCAGCACGCAGCAAACACAGCTAGCTACCACTGCCAGAGCTATTGCTGCCAAACAAAACGAATCCTCTGGATTAGTCAGCCTATTTATCCAGGTACGTGATCGTAGGCGTAGAGGGCAGCAAAACGATGTACAACACAGAGCCGTAGATAGAGAGAGTTTGGCCAACTCGGTTTCAATCACGTGACTTACACCGGCCATGTTGTCACCAAAACAAAACAACGCGATAGGGTAGGAAGTTAGCAGTTTAATAGATGATTAATGCTATATAATGTGAAATACCGTTATGTTGGGTTTGGGGTTGCTGCTATCGATCCAACAAAGAAACAAAAATGTATTAATTTCCTTAAATTCCAAAAAGGAGGAGGATTTGGGATTATATTTTAACTTCGCATGGCTCGAAAAATCTTGCTATCCACGTAGTAAATAAAGGCATGTACCGCCCGCCCCACTTCGCGGTAATACGTAACTGTACTTGGCCTAGACAGGCCTAAATTTCGGTACTTCTTCGGACGAACACCTTAAGGTAGTACTTAAATCAGCTTTAATTACGATGATAATAAAAAAAAAATAAAAAAGGAAGAATTTCAAGCAGCAATGATTTATAAAAAGACGCAATGTTGCACTTTGCTGTTAAATTATATTTTCCAGCTACATGAAGTATCAGTCAAAGGTAGCTTAAATTATAATTAAAAATAAAAATTGGATCCTCCAATAAAAGCGAAATCTTGTCCAAGGAGTCCTGAGCTAAGCAAACATGCCCAATTGTGCTTTACAAATCAATTAATCGTGCAACTAAAGATTTTAAAGATAAAAATATATTTTAAAGATATAGGCCCCCTAGGCCTGATTGTATTATAATATATTGATTGTTTTAATACATATTTTAAATCAAAACGTTTAAATGTTTTACAAATTACAAATCAAAATTTCAATGAATAGTAAATAATGAATAATAAATAAATAATAATAATAATAAAAAAAAAAATAATAATAATAATAATAATAATAATAAATAATAATA